TCGCCCCCATCAACCCCCCCTCCACTCCCCTGGGATGGTGAGGCCCTCAATGGGGGAATCCCCAAAGTCTGTCATGCCATCAGGGCAGGGCCTAGGCCCTCCCCCATGTGTCCAGGCTGAGAGAACATCCCTCCATGTGGACTGGGCTCCCAAAGTCCATTCATATGCCAGGGATAAATACTGATCCACTACCAGAGGCTCCATAGATTGCTGAGGCCTCCTCACTGACATCCACATTCAGGGGGTCTGGATCAGTCTCAGGCTGGCCTCCCAGCCATCAGTCTGGGGTCCATGAGCTCCCCCTTGTTCAAGTCAGCTGTTTCTGTGGTTTCACCAGCCTGGTCTTAACCCCTTTACTCTTCACTCCTCCCTCTCTGCAACTGGGTTCCAGGAGTTTAATTCAGTGTTTAGCTGTGGTGTCTGCCTCTGCTTCCATCAGCCACTGGATGAAGGCTCTAGGATGGCATATAAGGTAGCCATCAATCTCATTATTGGGGAAGGGCATTTAAGATAGCCTCTCCACTATTGCTTAGATTGCCAGTTGGTGTTATCCTTGTAGATCTCTGGAAATCTCCTTAGTGCCAGATGTCTCCTCAGACCTATAATGGCTCCCTCTGATATGATATCTGTCATGCTGCTCTCCTCTATTCTTCCCCCTATTCAACCTTCTCTTCTCCCCCTCTCTTTCTACCAGCTCCCTCTCCTCTCCTGCCATGCTCCTAATCTGCTCAGGAGATCCTATCCCCTTCCCCTTCTCTGGGGTACCATGCATGTCTCTCTTAGGGTCCTCCCTGTTTCCCAGCCTCTCTGGCAGGGTGGACTTTGAGCTGGCAATCCCCTCCTCCCTGTCTAAAATCCATATATGAGTGAGTACACACCATGCTTGTCTTTTTGTAACTGGGTTACCTTACTCAGGATGGTTTCTTCTAGTGACATCCATTTGCCTTCGAATTTCAAGATTCCATTGTTTTGTTTGTTTGTTTGTTTGTTTCCCGCTGAGTGGTACTCCATTGTGTAAAATGTACCACATTTTCTCTATCCATTCTTCAGTTGAGGGGCATGTAAGTTGCTTCCAGTACTCAGGATGGTTTCTTCTAGTGACATCCATTTGCCTTCGAATTTCAAGATTCCATTGTTTTGTTTGTTTGTTTGTTTGTTTCCCGCTGAGTGGTACTCCATTGTGTAAAATGTACCACATTTTCTCTATCCATTCTTCAGGTAAGGGGCATGTAAGTTGCTTCCAGTTTCTGGTTATTACCAATAATGCTGCTATGAACATTGTTGAACAGATGTCCTTGTTGTATGAATGTACTTCTTTTGGGTATATGCTTAAGAGTAGAATTGCTGGATCTTGTGGTAGACTGATTCCCATTTTCCTGAGGAATCTCCGTACTGATTTCCAAAGTGGCTATATGAGTTGGCACTCCCACCAGCAGTGAAGGAGTGTTTACCCTTTCTCCACATCCTCTCCAGCATAAACTGTCGTTGGTGTTTTTGATTTTAGCCATCTGACAGGAGTAAGATGGTATCTCAGACTTGTTTTGATTTGCATTTCCCTGATAGTTTCCAACAGTCTTAAAAACTAGATTTTGAGCCTGGGGATGGTGGTTCAATTGGTACAGCCCTTGCCTAACGAAGCCCTGGGTTTGATCCCCAACACCATTTAAACCAGGTGTGGTGGTACACACTTGTAATCCCAACATTCATCAGGGACACAGGAGAATCAGAATTTCAAGGTTGTCATTGGTTATATAGCAAAGCTTGAAGCTAGCCTGGGCTACATGAAACCCTTGTTCATATCAGGGTTTTATTTTCATTTTGTGTGCATTGAGAGATAGCTCAATCACTCAGAGCATTTGCTGTTCCTTCAGAGGACCTGAATTCAGTTTCCAGCACCCAAATTAGGTGATTCACAAGTGTTCAGAGGATCTGATGCCTTCTTCTGGCCTCCATGGGCACCTGCACTTGTGTGCGTATCCACACAGAGATACACACAGACATATACATTTTTGAAAAGAGATCTGTTGGACCTGGCTGCATTGCTTCTACAGTCCCACCTATGGACCTCTCTAGCTAAAACATGACTCAGCCACTAGTGGAAGAATTTATCTTCCACTCATTCCTTGTTGTTCCCAGCTTGCATTATTCTTGGCTCCCATGGGCATCTTAGTTTGCAACTCCAGAACATGATTTTGATGCCAGTCTCTCCTGACTGCCCTTTGGTTCTGTGAGGCCCAAGCATGTTGTTACAGGGTCCCAGAGAACATCAACTGTCAGCATTCTTGAATAAGGAGTTACCTGGGCAGTTTGGGGAGTAACTTCTGAAGATGGCCCAGTCTATAAGAGGGAGGAGCCAGCTGAGTATGTAATCTCAGCTGGGCCCTATGTCCTCAGGGCTGGGCATGTGCTTAGCCATAGCTCAGCTTAGGGACTGCCTCTTCTGATACTAATGAAGACAGGACAGGTAGGAATGATGCCAGAATCCAGCCTGTGGTAAAGATGGAAGTTTTCTCTGGCTCATACAAGGGGAGTGACCAATGTGTTTGCCAAACAGTGTGAAGGATTAACACGAAAGAAGGAAAGCAGAGGAGGAAGCATTGTACTATCTATTGCTTCCAGTACTACCTACACCAGGCCTCATCTGGCCTTTAAAGACCCCTGTGACTCTCCTCGCATGGCATTTTCAGTTCATGTTTAAAATCACAGCCTTTTCTCGAAGATGCCCTAACTAGCCCCAATCTGGACTGTTGTTGGCTCATTCTCCCACCACCACCCCCAGAATAACCTCTTCCCATTCTTATGCCTTGAAGTACCCAGAGGTGGTCATGTCTAGGCTGATTCCCCAAGGTGGAAATCATGCCTCCATGTCCCCTGTGCTCCTCTACTCCTGGTTACCTCATTTTCTGTCTTCCTGTACTGTCCCTCCAAGGCTTCTCTCTCGCCCTGCCCCAGTCTTGCTCCCCGATGACAGCCAGGTGGGTTTGGCAGACAATAACCCTGACCTTGAAGTCAGACAGACTGGTCTCAGCCCAACACGATGTTCTTGACAATTCACTAGCGCAGTGTGGGGCCTGGGAAAGGGAGCTCTTTCTGAATCACCAGCTGGTGGGTGAGGTCTGAGGCTGGGGAAGGCTGTGGGAGGAGAGAGTCACGTGAATGAAGGTAAGTTCTCTTCTGGGGCAGGAGTGTGCATACTTTATCACAGTAGGAGAGAGATTGAGCCCCCACCCCCATCTCTGCAAACTCGAAAGACAACTAGTTTCCTCAGTTTCCATTTTGGGTATATTAAAGGCTGTAGGTATCAAGGCCTACAACTGGCATTTTTGGATGCCTTCTAGCAGGGCATCGCTCTCCACTCCTTTCAAGTCCAACTGTGCTCTGCTGCTGCACAGATACAGAACATGTGCCAGTGGCTCTGGCAGAGGAGAGAACAAGTGAGTTTTCCATGCAGGCTGCTCACTTTGGTATCCACTGACAAGAAAAGAGGGGGTTGTGTTAGAGAGATGACTCAGTGGTTAAGAGCACTTGCTGTTCTTCCAGAGGTCCCAGATTCAATTCCCAGCAACTACATGGCAGCTCACAACTGTAACTGCAGTTCTGGGAAATTCTACACCCTCACACAGAAATACATACAGGCAAAACACCAATGCACACAAAATGAAAATAAATAGTTAAGAAAAGAGGAGGCACTCTGCAGGGTTGGGTGTGGTCCAACCCCCTAGAGTGGGGCCTAGGAAACAACCCACCAGGCTAGTAGCACAAAGCATAAGGTTGACAAAGCATTGGACTGTGAACACTCACAAGAGGGGTCAGGCTGGCATGTGTGTATGAAGCAGAGAGCACTTCCTGACTTCATGGATTTGTTTGGACCAGCCTGGCTGCTGGATACCTTCCCACAAGCTGATGGGGCAGGCCAGGCTCCCCTGCTCCCAAGGCTCAGCCCCTCTCCTTCTCTTACCTCTTAGGCTGTTGAGACCTTGCAATAGGGATTCCCTCACCAACCCATCCCCAAGCTGTACCTGCATCAGTCTAGGCTATGCCCATCACTGTTGTCCATGGCACAGCATTTATCAGTGAACAAATGCTTCTCTTGTTTATTTATCCCTAGAACAGGTGTGAATGAAAAGCAGGGCAAATTTCTTATTGCTCCCTTGCAGAAGGACTGGTGCATGCCAGCAGTAGGGAGCCAGGGTTCTCTAGCCTTAGCCAGAACATTTTCCTCTCTTAGCCTCAGTTTCTCATCTGAAGACCAAAGATGTTGGTCCATGTGCCCTCATTTGCTGGCATTCATTTGCTTCCCAGGCTGTGTTATGCACAGTTAACAAGGGCTTGAATCCCTGGCTGTGGCTCCCCTGCAGCTCCTTTCCCTTTGCATCATGCACTGCCAACTTTCTGGCATCCCTTAAGACTGGTTGCTTAAGAAGTTACCTGCAGGAGCAGTACAGCTGGCAAAGATGTGTATTCCAGTACTAGTGGGTATAGACCTAATCCAGCACCTCCCTAGCCTGGCTGGAGACGGTGGGGACAAGGGTTGTCAGTGTGAGCTGTGGAGGAAGAGTCGTCCTGGGACTGAAGCCTGGCAGGTGCACCATTGAGCACGCAGCATTTTCAGTTTTGCTGGCGAAGGGTCTGATCTCTAGAAGCAAATGGAAACAGATTCAGCCCAGGATCCAGAGGCCTGAGGTCCACTGTGGGTGTCTTGGAAGGGTATCTCTGCTTATCTGTTCTTTCTATTATCTTTCCCTTTCTAATCCACCTTAGAGCCCCTCCTCGTCTTTCTGATTCTCAGGGTCAGCATCTCTCTTGGTCTGGAGGCTCTTTCAAAGGACTTCCCGCCCTGTGTGAGCAGATAGGGGGTGGGGCACGGTACACAAACTGATTGAGCTGCCCCCATGAAGCCAGCAGGGGCCGCTAGCAAACAGTCTCTGAGGGGGCGTGGCGGAGGCTTGAGCGGAGGGGGCGTGGTCTCGAAGCCAGCCGACCAATAAAGGCGGCGGCGAGTGGCCAGGCTATCGCTTCCTGGGTCGTGTGACCTTGTTGCTGCTGTGACTTCTTCGCGCGCCTTTGCCCGTCACGCGACCACGATGCTGTCGCTGCGCTGTGGCCCCCGCCTGCTGGGCCTGCTCTCTAGCCCGCGCTCCGCACCGCTGCTCCTCTCCGCGACTCGCGCCTGCAGCGACAGCGGAGCACGAGACCCGAACTCCTCCTCCCGGAACCCGCTCGTGTACTTGGACGTGGGCGCCGATGGGCAGCCACTCGGCCGCGTGGTGCTGGAGGTGAGGACCCTGAACCCGACCGGCCCGGCATGGGCTTAGGGCAAACCTATTCGGGCCCCGTTCTGTTCCTGGCACGCCGGGTGACCTTGGGCCTCTCACTTCCAAACCCTGGACCTCAGTAGAAGCGACATAAGTTTGGTCTGTTCCAGGGCGCTTCAACACCCTGAGGAGTGTGGAGGCGAGAGGGAGGGCTTGTGTGGAGGAAAAGGTCAAGGTCATTTCGCACTGAGTGACAGCCCACTGGCGGGCCAATGCAGAGTTTGGGCTTCTGAGACCCTCTGAGTCCGACGCTGGACCTAGAACTTTAGTCGAAGGCCCAGGTGTTGCCCGTAGTGGCCTGAGTTTAATGCCCAGCGCACTCCGGATCCACCCCCAGGGCCTGGCTACTTAGGAGGAGGCATCCCGGGAATGCAAGTGGGAAGATGGTTCAACTAGGAGGCCAACCCTCTCCACTCTCTGAGGTTCACATTCAGCTCTAGCTCCTGTTCGACCCTTAAAATTTTGAAAAGTAGGAAACAGTCACCAAGGTATCGCGAGGCCCTAGTTGCCTTCAGGCTGTTCCACTTTAAACAAAGAGACCAGTTAGTGTTGACTGGTCGATTTATTGGGGGAGGGGGCTGAGAGGTGGGGGTGGTTGATATTTGTTGTTACTCCTCTGTTTCCCCTTATGTTGTTATTGTTTTATTTTTTCTAGTCAGGGTTTCTCTGTGTAGCCCTGACTGCTCTGTAAAACAGGTTGGCCTTGGTTTACAGAGAGCCTGCCTTTGAGTCCCAAGTGCTGGGAATAAAGGCATGGACCACCACCAAAGGGTTTTTAAGAGAAGCTGAGAGGCAAGAGGCAGGCTTAGATGGGGCTGCAGTCTTTCTTTAACTGTCCCCTCCTTCCCTTCCATGAGCCTCAGTTTCTCTCTGCAGTGAGGAATGGTAACTGGTTCTATGATACTCTTGGTCCAGGAACTCATGCTTAGGGCTGCCAATTCTGCTCCGGAAGAGGGCCAGGATGACACTGGTGTCTTCTGATAGACAAGAAACTGAGGCTGTTTCCAGCAAGCCTTGGCTTCTGGAAGCAGCTGCCAGAAATGATAGAGTTGGTGGTCATAGGAAAGGAATGGTCCTGTGGTTCTTTCTCAGGATGCCTTGGCCACTGGGTGTGAGTGGTGGTCGAGGGGGCTCTTTCCTGCACCTGCTGGACTAACCATCCTTGTTTGTTCCTTTTCCTCCCTATAGCTAAAGGCAGATGTTGTGCCAAAGACAGCAGGTAAGGCTGAGGTGGAAAGTAAGCCAGGCAAGTAAGCCAGGCAAGGCTGATGGGCTTGGGGGAGGAGTTAGCACTCAGACTGTGACAATGTGGGGGTTTTGACCTAAGGCCAGCTGCTGGGTTCCCCGAGACAGCCTTTTGTCCCTCTTTGGACCTTGCTGTCAGGTCTGCTAAGCAGACTGAGAGCAGCTAGACATCTCAGAACCAGGGGGAAGGTTTGTGTAAGCTACTAGAGGTAGCTTCCAACCCACGTCTGCATGATGGCATGGGGCAGGGTTAGATACATAGTCTTTGGACTGCTTGCCCTGTTATTCTGGCTGGCACAGCTTAGAGCTTGTATTCTAGTCACAGTGTTTGCCAATGGGTCAAGGCAGGGAAGTACGTGATCAGGAATGGACTCAGGAGGAGGGGCACGGTCTCTCCACACACAGCTCACCTGGGGGACTGGTGGGGAGTGGGTGGCCTGCCTGTAACATACCTCTCCCTCTTTCTTCAGAGAACTTCAGAGCCCTGTGCACTGGTGAGAAGGGCTTTGGCTACAAAGGCTCCACCTTCCATAGGGTGATCCCATCCTTCATGTGCCAGGTAACAGTAACACAGCCTCTGCTGTAAATGGAGCTGGCAGTGGAGATGCCTGAGGCAGGGAGAGGGACTAGGATCACTGATAAGCAAGCAAGGGGTCCAGTGTATGGAAGAGACACAGCAGGAGGCTGTCTCCACCAGAGTTGAACAGTCTCTAACCTTGGCATTCTGTGTGCCCTTGAGCATTGGGCATGGGAGGAGAAAAGATGGCTAAGTCAGGATTATACACGCCTGGACTTGGAGATGCCTTCCTGGTGAAGGGCCTTTTTCCGGTTAAGTGAGCACATTCTTTAGTACATGCTCTTCCTGTTTTACAAACTTGTAAGTATTGCTGCGTCAGGTTTGGGGATATGTGTTAGCAACGAAAACTTCTTGGGCAGACTCAAGGTCAGGGGTTAATGATGCCAGGAGAGCTAGAGGTAGGCATAGATGTCAGGGCCTCTCCAAAGTCCTTTCTGCCTATTTTTTCCATTGTAACCAAGTAGCAGTAGTTTGAGGCTGTGCCTGCTTACACATTGGGTGTGGTGAAGTGAAGGTAAGGCAGACATGGCTATGGCTGAACCCAGCCAAGTCCTGTGATCTTTCTGCTGCAGAGGCTCCCAGCTCCACCTGGGGTTGGTGGATGAGGTAGGCACTAAGGTGGGTAGCTGGAGTCAGGAAGGGGCTTGCTGATTGGGAGAGCTTTTTATGGCTTCTTATAGTGGCCTCTGGAGGCACAGGCAAAGTACTGGGGACAAGGTACTTATTGGTATGCAATTCGCACCTCTGAGAAACCACAGTGTGGCCATAGCCAACAACTGGGCATAGAACTGCTCCTGTACTCCATGCAGGTCTTCCCAGGCTGCCTGAACCTTGGGCCAGCTCTCTGAGGAAGGTTCCCAGCCCCCATGTGCCATGTGTCTACAGAGCCTTTGGGCTTTAGCTTTGGGAGGGTGATGCTGGGGCAAAGGAGGGAACCCAGCCCAGGGAACTGTTCTCCTGCTCCAGCCCATCTCTGAAACCAGCACCCCTGGTCACCTGCTTGTGACTCTCAGGAATTGTGGCTTGAAAATCAGAACACCTCAGACATGTGGATTACTGAAAAATGAGCTCAGACGAGAAACCAGACTTGGCGTGGCATGGCTCCAGACCGAGAGGCTTGGTTTTAAGCTTTGGCCGTTTTGTCTCAGGCATTGGATGGTTGCTGGCCCCTTTGCCTGTGGGTGGGCTTTGGGTTTGTTGGGGCTGCCATTTAGGGGGCACATGCCGCCAGCTGTGTGGTAACAAGTCATTCTGTGTGCAGGCTGGCGATTTCACCAACCACAATGGCACGGGAGGGAAGTCCATCTACGGAAGCCGCTTTCCTGATGAGAACTTCACACTGAAGCACGTGGGACCAGGTATGTGGGACTGTGAGCCTCTCTCTAGTGCTCTCTGCAGTTCCATCTGGACACTGCCACAGCTGGCTGCCCGGGGAAGCTGTGTTCCCAGTTGCCTGACATCCCATCATGCTTCTTCTGTTAGCATCCAAGCAGTTCAGCATTTCTAGCTTGTTGGGTTTCCCGAGGGCTTTCTCGTTTTTAATTCTGTAAAAACCAGGCTTTCTACTGTAATTTCAGCACTTGGGAGGCTGAAACAGTAGAACCCAAAGGTTGAGGCCATCTTGGGCTACATAGTGAGACTTGTTTCAACAGACAAAAACTTCCCTATGGGAACTTGGTCGAGGAGTCTTTAAGCAGAGCCCAGGGCAGAATGTGAGAAAGCTGAGAGGCCATATCTGGGGTTCCAACTCTCCCCTGAGATCCCTCAAGTCCTTCTGTCCCAGCCTCTCCCATAGAAAACTAGCTGGCAGTCAAGGCACACAAGCTCCAGGGTCTAGATGTTAGCACTGGTTCTTTCTGGTTCCAGGATCTACAGGTTCTTATGTCCTTGATGAATGTGAGCCATCTCTTCTTCCAAGGAACATCTCAGATGAGGGGTCTCCTGGGTGACTTAACACCCCCTCTGCTTGTCTTACAGGTGTCTTGTCCATGGCGAACGCAGGCCCCAACACCAATGGCTCTCAGTTCTTTATCTGCACAATAAAGACAGACTGGTGAGTAGTTCATGCTGTAGGACCTCTGTGAATCTGCTCTGAGCCGGCAACCTGCTTCTCACTGTACATCTGTCTTGACAGACAGAGAAAGAATTGAGGGACAATTTGGGTTGTTCTGTGACTATGTCACACCCATGCTTCCCAGTGGTGCCATTGGCTAGAATTTGATTTGTGTGGTACCTGCACACACACACAAAAGGGTTCCTCTACCCCACATTTGGGGAAATGCTTTCAGTAAGTGACCTTGTGGTGGTCTGAGTAGAAGCCATTTTGCCTGGCTTAACGTGATGCTTCTTCCTTGGCTTGCCTCCACTAAGAATGTGCTTGTGGAATCCTGGGTATGAGGCAAGTTTTCCTCAAATGCCATTAGCATGGCTTCACATGGCCCCTCATCCCCTCCAGCCCCCTTTCCCATAAGCCCGTGCTGTCTAGGAGTACCTTTTCCCTGGTAAAACCTCCACTAAACAGTACCTTCCTATGCATGGAGTCCTCAGTGTTCCAGACTTCAAGTTCCTGGACTTGAGAGGCAGCAGCTGACAGAGAACTTCAGAAAGCCTGTTTCCACAACTTTAATTAAGGAAACCTAAGTGATAGGATGGCATTTGCTAGCTTCTGTCTTCCAAGCCACGAAGGGCTGCCAGGGCCGGGCAGGTTATTGCTGGCTCCATCTTTGCTCCTTCCGTGGAAGCCTTAATGCGCCTTGCAATTCTGCCTCTTAAGTCCTTTTTCTGTTCTTGGAACTCACAAATCAAGAGCTACTCAAAACTTCCAGGTTTCTCACACTTGTCCTGGCCCTTGGTTTGCCTGCTGAACCAGTTTGTTTGCACAGATGTCTTGCTTTTTTGAGCAGCTCTGTGCCATCATTTTCCTGGGAGGAATAAGAATAGCTCACTTCTCGTGGGTAAGGTCACCAAGATTCAGATCAAGCTGCTAGGGCAAAGCCCAGAGTGACAGAACATATCCTGGGAGCCCAGAATCTGCCAGAACATAGCTGGGGAGCTCACAAAGCTTCATTAAACTTTGGGTGGGGTGGAGTGGGGTGTTCCTTTGAGAATTAGTACCTTTGGCAAATAATTCTTTACTGGGTGTTTTCTCACTTGGCTCAACCCTCCTCACAGGCTGGATGGCAAGCATGTTGTGTTCGGCCATGTCAAAGAGGGCATGGATGTTGTGAAGAAAATAGAATCTTTCGGCTCAAAAAGTGGGAAGACATCTAAGAAGATTGTCATCACAGACTGTGGCCAGTTGAGCTAAGTCGTCGCCAAGGTGCTAGGACAGTAGCAGCCACCCAAGTGCTCTGAGCACAGGTGCCCCAAAGAACTGTTTGTGCCTATGTCCCTTACTGAGTATGAAGAAGGTTACTCAGGCACATGGTCCTTCACAGGACCACGCTGCTCTCAACTCTCCATCCTCCCTCAGATCCTGTTTCTGGGCATCAGTGTGGCCACTGGGCAATGCATCCTCTCAGCAAGTGACCCCAGAATTGCCATTCATGTGTGCCTTGGACATTGGCATCGATGACCAGTTGTCATCCTTGACCAGTGGGGGCAGCAGTTGCTATTTAATATTGTCTTCCTCGTTGCCATAATTTAATATGATTTCATAGAAAGCAAACTGTGACACTAACTGCACTGTACTCTGTGACCTGAGTTGGCACAAGCCACAACCCCCTGAGCCTGGTTTCTGAACGTAACTCAGGGCTCTTGTGAACGTTCCAATATCAATGCCTTTCCTCACGGTTACTGTGAATCCTGCTGGTTGGCTGCTGTGACTTTTGAAGGGAGCCTGTGGGAAAGAAGCAGCTGGACCTGGGGGCAGACCTGTGTCCTGGGGCTGTCTGCTCAATGTGAATTCCTGTGTTGAAAACTGCCCTTGTGCATACTGTCCTCAGGAGAACATGTTTCCTGGCCGGCTTTGCTTTTTCTGTATGCTAAATGAATCCAATCTATCAATGATAATATATGTAAAAGATTTCTGGAACAGTCCTCTGTTTTCAAATGTGATAATAAATCCTATTTTCTATAAAACTGCTGTCTCTGCCTTTAGAAAGCAGTCTGAAACTTAAGTGTTTGGGGCTTGCTTGTTTTGAGACAAGGTCTTGCTATATGGTCTGGACTGGCCTAGAACTTGCTGTGTAGCCTTGACTTGCCTTAAACTCTCTTGATCCTCCTGAAGCTGCTGGGGTTACAGGCATGTAGCTTTGTATCCAGCTGGAGCCAGCTTTTGAGTTACATGTGTAACATCCAGTCTCCACAGCCCCCACCACGAGCGCTACCTTTAATCAGAGTCCCAGCTCTGATCAGTGACCAAGCTTCAGCTTCCCTCAGCTGCATAATTGTATACATGACACCTAGATCTCAAGTTGGGTGTGGTCCATGTCAGGTGCATGGCCTTAGGCCTGATGTCATCATAGCAAGCTCTGGGTAATGACAAGAGGATGACATTTCCCATGTATCAGATCCTTAGGAAAGGGGTCTTGGCTAAGCAAGGAGCTGAGGTCATGGAAAGTTAGGGGTGTGGTTCCCTGCCCATGCTGGGCCACTGAAATTTGGAATTCCTCATATTGCTGAATTCTCAGGGAGGGCAGGATTGGGGTGAGCAGATGACTAAAAGTTTCCTCAGGTGGGCAGGGACACAGCAAGTCAGTAGCTCCTAGAGAAGGGACTTGGGCTCTGGCTGGGGTGAGTAATGCATTCATTTGGTATGCAATTCCTGAGTCAGGTGGTATGAGGTGGGCCTGGTCACTCTGAGGTCATAGTAGCCAGGCTGAGTCCTTCAAAGTCATGGAGTTTCCATGAAGTCAGTCAGCTCCATGGGTTGGGAGCTTCATTGGACTAGCATAGTTTCAAAGCAGTTCTGAGAGCATCAGGCATCCTCAGAACACCCAGGTGTGATGGTGTGGACCCTGAGGCCTGTGTCTGCATGGCACTTTCTAGTTCTACGGTGGGGCTGCCAAGGGATTTCCCTTGAGAATCAGATCTCAGCTGAATAACTGATCATTGCTCATGCAGAGCAACAGCTTGCAGGTGAGTAAACTAAGGCTACAGGCTGGATTGTGACTAGAGAATGCTGTCAAGACAGCTGGCAGAGGGCAGAAGCCTGAGTTCTTGGTAGCACAAAAAGTATACACACAAAGGGATTCTTAGAGGATCACACGGGCACTTTACCACTGACCCCCAATACCTCACCTCACCTTTTTCTTTATTTTCCACAATGGCCTTGAAGTTGCTCTGTAGCCTGGGGTCAACTTTGAATTTGTGATTCTTCTGCCTCAGCCTCTTGAGTAGCTGGGATTATAGGCCTGTACCCTGCCCCCACCCCCTTTAAGCAATTTACTTTAAAAATAAAGTGTTCTTAAAGCATCTATTTATTTGTAAATCTATATATTTGCTCATTTTACAATTTATGTATTTATTTTTTCTGGTGCTACGGGGTGAAGTCTGGGCCTTGCCAGTGCTAGGTGGATGATCTATCACTGAGCTGTCTCCCAGAGCACAGGTCAAAAACGTGCTGCTGTTGCTGTCTCTGGAGTTGCTTGCTGTCCTGGGGTGCCCCAAGTACCAGTGGCAAGGTGAAGGGAAAGCCAACCTCCTTGAGCTGTGACCTGCCTACTGTCAACTTCTGAGGGGGTCTCAGAGTTAGAAGATGGAAGGGCTTGTGTTTTCTTTTCACTGAGGATGTGTACTGTGTCTCCATCCAGCGGAATCTAGGGGTATAGCAAGCATGAATTTTCTAGAAACCACTCCCCAAAGGCAACGGCAAGGTCATCCTCTGCAGTTCTCTTGGTACTGCAGAGGCTTGTAGGGAGACACGGTAGACCTGCCACCCCCAGATAACCCGAACAGGTGTGCCGGGTGAGGGTGGGGTGAGGGGAAGTCTAAGGTGACGTCAGGAAGGCTTCTTAAGGGACCACTGTGGACACATGGACCGTCTCTTCTGGCCCTTCTGCTGGCTCCCTCCTCCTCGCTTTGGCCTGCGCTTGGCTTTATCCAAATAAAGAAACCTTGCCCGATTGCCTGCTGAGTGATCACTTAACAGAGGCCTAACAAGGTTTTGGGTTTTTGTGCAGCACCATTTTAAGTAACACCAAAACCCCCAGCTTGTTGCTGGCAGTATTTGTTAGTACCTAATGCCTGCATCAGTAGCTCTCAGTACCTAATGCATACATAAGTGGTGAGCCTGCATGTGCTTTCCAGATGACATCATATGTGAAGCATATGTATTCAAAACCCCAAAGCATCACTTTTCTGAGATGCATGATAGCTTTTCAGAATGACTTCACTGAGGTAAAATTTGCATATAGTATAAAAGTCACACATTTTAATTGTACCATCAATGATTTTTGAATACCACATTATGATTAATGACCATCAGTTAATACAAAAAAAAAATCTCGCTGTCTTTTCTAAACCTTCCCTTTACTTCTTTCTAGTCAACCACTGAGTTCTATCATCGTTCAATACACTTTGCCTGTTTTAGGACTTTGTGTGGAAATGGTGTCAAACAGGAGCCATTATTTTGCACCTGGCATTGCTAGCATAGTGCATGGGAGACTAACACAGTGGGTTCTCAACCTGTAGGACGAAACCCTGTTGGAGTCCACTGACACTTTCTCCGGAGTCACAAATCAAATATTTGCATTATGATTCATAACAATAGCAAGATTACAGTTATGAAGTAGCAACAAAATACTGTTATGGTTGGGGGTCACCACAACATGAAGAACCATATTAAAGGGTCACAGCACTAGGAAGGTTGAGAACCGTAGCTCTAATACATGTCTGGGTTCTGCAGGACTTTGCTTTATGAAAAGCAGTTTCTGCAAATGTCTCCTAAATGTAATAAAGCCTAAGGCCTGGGACTCACGGGGTCCTGGGAGAGCATGCAATCCCTGATCTGCTTTCTTGAGACTGGCTTTCACCTAAGCTGGTTTTAAACTCAAGAGATCCTTTTGCTTCTGCTTCCAAATAGCCGGGACTGTTGGTGAATGCCATGGGACACAATAAAAGGCACTTTGCTCTTGGGTCATTTATTTATCTGTGTGTGTGCATGTGTGTGCGTGTGTGTTTGACTCTGTGTGTGTGTTTGTGTGTGTGTATGTCTGTGTCTGTCTGTGTGTCTCTGTATATGTGTGTGTATCTGTGTGTGTGTGTGTGTATGACTGTGTCTCTCTGTGTGTCTCTGTATGTGTGTGTGTGTATGTGTGTGTCTGTATGTGTGTGTGTAGCTGTATGTGTGTGTGTCTGTGCATGTGTGTATCTGTGTGTGTGTGTGTCTCTGTATGTGTGTGTGTCTCTGTATGTGTGTGTGTATGTGTGTCTGTGTGTTTGTCTGTGTGTGTGTGTATGTGTGTGTCTCTGTATGTGTGTTTGTGTATATGTGTGTCTTTGTGTGTGTCTCTGTATGTGTGTATGTGTGTGTCTGTGTGTGTCTGTGTGTGTGTCTGTGTGTTTGTCTCTGTGTGTGTATGCGTGTGTCTCTGTGTCTCTGTAAGTGTGTGTGTCTGTGTGTGTATGTGTATGTATGTGTGTCTGTGTGTGTGTGTGTATGTGTGTCTCTGTGTGTGTCTCTGTATGTGTGTGTATGTGTGTCTGTGTGTCTGTGTGTATGTGTGTATCTCTGTATGTGTGTGTGTGTATGTGTGTCTTTGTGTGTGTATGTGTGTGTGTCCCTGTATGTGTGTGTATGTGTGTCTCTGTGTATGTGTGTGTCTGTGTGTGTGTCTGTGTGTTTGTCTCGGTGTGTGCTTGTGTGTATGTGTGTGTCTCTGTGTGTGTCTCTGTATGTGTGTATGTGTGTCTCTGTGTGTA